TGGTTAAAGGTGAGAATAGGTCTCAATGAAAAAAATGAGAATAAATCGTGTCCACTAGATCATATTAGTCGGATGGCTACAGAGAACGCATCCAATTTAATTCACGCCATTAACTGGTGGGTATAATGGCAATTACCAAGTCAATTAATGTCGGTTGTAAGAAAACCCACATCTCATTCCCACATGCTCATTCCTGCAGCTAAAACCCTTGCCTCAACTTCCCTCACATCAAATTCCCTCACCCCATCAAATTAATCGAATTTTGTGGTCGATCTTCATGAACATCGAGCTCGAACTTCCGATTTATTGAGTGTTGCTATCAATTTATTGGAGTATTGTGAACAAGCTCCATAAAATCGAGGTATGTATTTCCTTTTTTTCTTGAATACTGCTATCAATGCCCGTGAATTAGAGCTCAAATTTTTCAAACGTAGTGGGATTTTACAACGTTTTTTTTTTCTTGGAATGTTGAGACCACACCCATGAAAAATGGGCTAAGATTTTAAAATTTATTGTTGATTTTGAACAATCTCAGTACGAGATATAAATTTATGATTGCTGGGAGTTTTGATATGATATCATTCTTTATATCTTTGATTTATTGTTATTTTTTTTTTCATTTTTTCATGGGTTTGATACAGTATCTTGGTTGAGCCAAACCAACGATAGAGATGAATGAATCGCAAGCTGGTATTGACATGGAGTTAACGTTTATACAGAACACTTTCAGTTAGTCAATTATTATTCATCTTTTGCTAATGTGCAACAATCAGTCCTATTGTGTGCAATGTATGTTCACAAATGTGCAATTGGTGTGTTTGGAGTACTAATAGTTATTATTATTTTTGTTTTCCCTCGCGACAAGAAAAGACGAGCAGACAACGATTACACATCAGAACCTTTCAATCACACCAGGTGGGACAAAATATTGGATCCCACAATGTGACGGAGCAATCAAACCTTATAAGGGACAGAGATTTCGGGAACTACATGAAGCGGTCAACTTCTACGTGAATTATGCTTTTAATGTTGGTTTTGATGTGAGACATAGCACCATGGTGAAGCCACGTGACAGGATGGTCCTTTGGAAGTACCTAGTGTGCTCGCGAGAGGGCTATAAGCATCATGCAACCGTTGGTCCAACAGTACCTGTTGAAGGACGTGCGACGAGACGTAGAGTGTCCAATCGGGAACGATTTTTATTTTTATCTTTCTTTTTTTTTATATTGATTTTTTGAATGATGTAGATAGACGAATATCGTCCTAGCAATATTGAAGTTATAGTTGATTTTATGATGATCATTATAACGATGTCATGTTTTGTCGTACTGTTACTTGTTGATAACCATTGTCAAAAGAATACTATATGAATATCGCACTATATCATTCAGGCGGTTGCACGATTATTCACAAATTTTCGCACCATATGAAAACTAGTGCGAATAAACTGTTGTTGATGACCATTGACAAAAGAACACGATATGAATGTTGCACTATATCATACAGAAGGTTGCACGGTTATTCACAAATTTTTGCACCGTATGAAAACTAGTGTGAATGAACTGTTACTTGTTGATGATCATTGTCAAAAGAATACGATATGAATATTGCACTATATCATACAGGCGGTTGCACAGTTATTCTCAAATTTTTGCACCGTATGAAAACTAGTGCGAATAAACTGAATATGACGTTCGCTAATATAATATGTGGTTCACTGATATAATATGTGTATTGCATTTTAGCGTACAATGTGATGCATGTCTATTCATATATATAATTATTAAGGCAATAACAATAATAATGCGGGCAATTTTAAGAATGTCATGGTGTTGACATAAGTCATAACAACATACTGCACATTAACTCATTGATAATTGCACGTACTATATGTTCGAAGTGCACGGTATACAACACATGTCGAATTGCACATTACATAACGCGTTTATCGTATCAGACATGGCCACATGAATCATTACACAAGCCTAACGACCAACACAGTCAATTAACCCATTAAGCAACTGAAGCAATACTAACCAAAGTACTATGTCGACTGCTCAACACAAACACACACACACACACATATAATCGTATATCATTGTCAACGATCGACTAACACCAACATGCTAGACCAATACCAACACGTAACAACTCAAAGAGGTTCCACTGCATTCGTTATACACGTTATATACAAACTAGCAATATTTTTGCAGCCCAAAAAGGAAACGATTACCAAAATTTGCAACACCAAAATCGTGTCAACAAAGACCATGATATAAAAAATGTACTGATTCACCACCAACATTTAAATGATGAACAAAAAAAAAGCAATTACTAAATAGAACAATCCACCTTCAACGTGCTTAAACAAAAGACAATTCTGAAACAAAAGATAAACTTGTCCACATGATCCAAAACAAAAGCTAAACCAACATATCCACAAACTGCGGCGTTCACCAAACAATCAGGGCAAGTTACATTGCTTCTTTTCTATATACAAGGGGTAGTGCCACGCTGCTTCGGGGCACAAGGTATGACGCAGCTCTATCGCTTCCGCATAAGTCTCCCTTCTTCAGATGTGGATTACAACTTCTAGCAAAACTGCCCTTAAATTGTCTCCAAGTGGCGCATCGTGAAAACGACCCATAAGTTAAAACGAACAAGGAGTTAACTTAAACATATATATATATATATATATATATATATATATATATATAAGACAATAAAACAACTAATTTAACATTGTGAAGTCAAGGTGTTTTCATAAATAAGTACCTTCTTGTGTACTAAGTATCACAAATGTGCTACCTTGTTGTATTAATGGCATGCTTGTACGACGTCGAGTCACTAACAATTGCAAACAAGCGTTAGATATGATGTAAATATAAAAGATCAAAAGAATGAATAAAAATTACTTATATTCTGTAATTCGAACTAAATAACTGTTTTGTCCTACTATAGATGCATAATGCACATATGTTGACAATCACCAAGCGGTCGGTCTATTACATCCACAACAGCATTTTTATCGGCAACGAAAAAAAATAAAAGACAGAACAAACGACTACAGTTAAAAACACGCGTACTGAATGAAAATCCTTATATTTCAAGGTTATAAAACACCAATGAAAACCGATTGTACCTCCTTCCCCATAAATTTCGGTTGCCCTTCTTCGGGTGTGCAGTTGCTGCATAAATGATTACATATTACATGATAAAGGAAACTAATTATAACCCCAAAAAAAAAAGACAATGCTCATAGCAGAGCACATTTAAGTATAGCAACATAAAACCAACACATCACACATATGATGTAAAATTGAGATACGGGCACAAACAATTAGCACACCCAAAAATCATAAACACACAACCATATAAATAAATAACATGCCTGTAGTTCATTAAAAATAATAAACAATAAACGAACTATAGACAAATAAAACTCAGCAACACACTGGATTTGCACATATTCGACCAATATAAAGCATTAAACTTACATATACCACCAAGTACACGCACAAAATTCAACATGCACAAAATAAATCAAGGAATATAGCAACTACCGAGAGTATAACTTCAAGTATATAAAAAGGTGAACAAAATATAAAAATAAAATACAACACGATCATAGACAAATCTCCCAAAAGAATATGTACCTGACTCACCCTAAATTTATATTTATCAATTTTTATTTTTTTTCCCCAAACGATATGGACACCCAATGTGTATCGTAAAACATGAGTTAAGATTATAAACAAAATAAAAAAAAACTTACCAGATTTCTTCGAATTGGCATATTTTCCCATTTTTTAATATACGGGACGATGAAAAATTGTTGATAAATCCTTCAAAAATCGACCAGCTTCAATAATAGTGATATCCGTTAATCGCTCATGAAAAAGGGACAAAAACAAGCTGAAAATCTTCTGTATCAATGGTGAAGACAAGGTGGGCCTGAAGATGGCAGATCGATTTCCAAACGGCGCTCCTCGTTGAATGAAAGGGATAAATGTCTCACCCTACTTTATTCTCTGCTGGTGTGTTGAAAGACCGTGATGCCCTCATGTGTAAAAAAAATCACCTTAGGTTCGCTGAAATTACGCGAATGCCACCACGTTTTCTATCATGCAGTCAAATTGGTTGACTAGATCTAAGCCATCGATTGAGCTGATCGGATGGTGTACATTCTTTCTCATTTCCTTCACTAAGCTTCATTCTCATTTGATCCTAATTATATATATATATATATATATATATGTGTGTGTGTGTGTGTGTGTGTGTGTACACACATTTCCACATTGTCATCAAATCTTCAAAAGTAACACGCCAAGTCACACAATCCAACCAGGGGACTTCGATTTGATCAAGTGGTTGATCATTTAGCTAATACTATGACTTTGTAATAGTAAATAACCTCACAACAACTATTTTTACTTACTTTCTTATAATCCACCACATGAGTGAAAATCAAATGTATGCATGTATGTTGCCTCTTTTGTTAAATCCTCACAAAACTCTACTACATCAAAAAAGGGTAGTTTGCGGCTTTAAACATTTCTTAGTAAATATTATCGGATTTACTAGTGTCTTAGTAGACATAGTGTCTTCGACTATCCTTCATAGTGTACACCAAGATAATGACATTCACACAATAGAGTCTCAACTCCATTCCATCATATCGTTGTGTTCGTTTTAGGCCATCGACATAACTTTGTATTCATAAGTGTTTATATACGAAGCAACTCACACTTCACACTTATATAGATGACCTCCCTATTAATAGTGTCATGTATTACTCTACCTCGAAAATGTTAGGAATTCATTAAAAGTTCAGATGACTTACTCTCACCACAATCAACAGGTAATCTTCCACTTTGATTGCTTTAGGAAATAGCTTTGGACATTCTTATTTTCCAAGTGTTCAATTGTATTTTCATAGCTTAGTTTTCCTCGTGAACCAAGTTCATGGGATCTCCTTCAACAAGGTAGGGTTACCACTATGATTGTTCTTTACATTGTAGAATTTTAAGTTCATTCCCTCTAGCAATATTCCCAGTTGATCTCTTTTCATTCCATTGGTGAAAGGATCAACCAATTTTTTCTTAAACTTTACCTAGTCAATGGAAATAATACCATTTGCATCAATTGGCGAACGATATTATATATGTCTACGACGGATATGTCTAGCCTTACCATTATACATGTTGCTTTGCGCCCTTCTATAACAACTTGGCTATCACAGTGAAATGTCAAAG